CACCAGACATTAGGAAAAGAAGCATGCCAGTTACAAACGACAATAATACAGAATTCACACTCTCATTCTGTTGCACTGTGCCTTATTTACATTGTAGAATAACAAATGAATGCATGTACATAGTAACATGTGTGAGTATGTTCATCTGATCCAGTTAAAATCCCTGAAGCTGTGGACCTATCAAGAGGTGAGTCATGCTGGGTGACTACTGTCCAGCATACAGACAAGGCCACAATATCATCAATCCCCTCCACCCTGTGGATATATATTTATTTCACACTTTATTATTTTTGTCATCTAGTCAAAAAAAAAGTAGAAATATATATAAATAATGGAAGTCACCCCAAAGACCCTGAGCAGAAGAAGAGAGAGATGGGGGCGGGGGAGAGCTCAGTAGAGGAGAACTATATGGGTAGATTATAGCATTCCTGCTACAGGGATCATTTGGCCTCTGAAATGAGCTGCTAAACTCACAAACACGGCAACTGCACTGAAGTCTCATTATACCCAAACAGCTATAGACTAGATTAACACAATCAGGGCTCCATAAAACCCTGCAGTGCTATGCCTCCATCTAAATGAACCTAAACTCTAATACTAACTAATGTAATAGTGCTTTAGCACCCGAGCCTTGCAGACATGGCATCATTAAAAACAATGTTTATGCAAGTAAATTAAACACAGGCAATGATAAATTAGTAACAGTTCGTCAATTAGTATTATTAGTATTGACCTTGTTCCATACCTACCAGCTAAGCAACACTATAAAACTACAAAATAACCCATTTAATCCCCTTCTTCCCTGCACACATCAAAAATGCCCTCATGCGTTCAGCCCGACATCTCGCCGTTTGTTGGTTTTTATTGGAGAAATAAACAGAATCAGCTCTGTGGATTTAAACAAGAAACTCCCAGCTGGAGATTGTTAAGAGGGTAAACAATCATGTTTACCTGCCAAAGAGTGCATTTTGATCATATGAAGCACTATAAAACAGAGAAAAAACAACCCCTTTAGTTTCAAGGGGTGCTACTGAATAGACTTAACACTCTATGACGTGTGTTTACAAAAGAAATGATCCTATAAAGAGCCTTTCTAACAGATAAAATCTCTTAACCTAGGCCTGTTACTTCATGTCATACACACTCGCTCATAATTTTAACATCAAGGGACTCTGTTATCTCTACTTTTGACCACTTTTTGACTACTGCAGCAGGCTCATGTAACTTCAGTAATGTAATAGACAGTAAGTAAACTGGACCATCAGATAAGTGGACAGCCTTGCCCGGAAGGCAATAAGACCAATATTGCTTATTCTGCAAAGCCTAATCTCTCCTTTCGAACTAATTATTGGACCACAATATACGAGTGTGAGAGGAAAGTTTGTAGAACAGGAGAGAATATTATCTTTATCTATCTTGTGAGTCCCTACATAAATCATCGCCCTTGGAAGGCACAGAAGGATCCTCCAAACAGCCTTTATTCTCCCACTTACCAAGCAAAGAAGCACAAGACTCTGTGTAATATTACAAGTCTTAGCTTTCAGCAAAAAAAGAGTGTTATTACACTAAGCTTTTGCAGGGCTGACTGTCTTCCACATTAAACTCTTAGTTTTTGCAATTAACTTCCCATGTACTCTCTGGCACGGCAGCGTGAGGCCCAAAACCCTCTCCATGACGCTCCCCGCCTGCGGCAGGCCGCGACTCCTCACCGCCCCAATTATAACTGGTATCACAGCAGGGAATTATCTTGATGTAAAGGTGATATCCTAAAGTTGTAGGCCATTCGATCACGGCTACTCAGAAACTAAATCTCATCAGTGTCTTTCGGCAATGAGAATGTAACACAGAATAGCCTTGCCATGCTCCCTAGATTCAGATTTAGATAAGGGCTTAGCACTCGGTAAGATTGCAATCGGAAATCTCGAGCTCGAGCGGCGCTAGGCTGCAGATGCAGCGTGGGAGTTCAAACTAGACATCTGGGATTATTCAGAAAAGTGTCCGTCAGCGGAGACATGCTGTTGTGTAAGCATTATGATTCACATCTTTAAGCTGCAGAGCCTACACAGCCAGGTATGACTGACAGGCACACTGTAACAAGACAAACACTAATATTAATGCAACAGCAAATAAAGCTTCATGTTACTTCATATCATTTGAAGACAAAATAACGACTCAAAAACATTAAACACAACATGTTATGGATTTCCTTGAAATCAACATCCTGCTAAGTCTTAAAAGCTTACAAACGCAGCTAACACTGAGGTTCGGCAGCAGTTCTACAGCATCTACTCAGAGCAGAGTGTGGAACGTTTCATTTTGTCTGCTCTTGCTCGACTCCCTCCTGATCAAGATCCTCACATTTGAAGAACACGTATGGAAGAATAAAACAAATCTGTAAGCCACTGAAGTGCAAAACCGATCCTTTGGAACTGTATTATGCTAATATATGCTATGTAGGCCCTGCTGCTGTCAGCGCAGTCAAGGAGTTGAACATTTTGAACAAATATTCACAGTATCAATGAAAAATGAGACGCTTCTGCACACCAGGAAACCATTCACATTGCAGATACAGTCAGCGCCATAATTATTGCAAGTCTTGGTAAAGATGGGTGGAAAAAGGTCATGAAAAAATTGTCTTTGCAGTTAATTATCTTACACTGAAACTATGAGGGAAAAACATTAAACTGAGGTGAAGGTCAGTCTTTAATAAAAATCAATATTTTTAACAAATCCATCCATTTACTATTATTCTTATTTGCACTCCCAAGTATTCTTATAAACAAAATATAACAGAAGCATGTTGCCATTAATATTTTAAGGCCACCTCAGTGTTCATGAACTCTTAAGTGGTCATCCATGGCTTTCTGTTTCCCTAGAGCATACATATAAGGTGCTACTGAGGCCAAATTCTTTAGTCCTTCAACAATCTGGGAACGATAAGACAATATGCAAATAAAATGAGACAAAAGTGTGCTGACCTTCACAAATCAGGTAACTGCTATAAAAATAGGTACATGCCTAAATACACCCATATCTACTGTAAGGGCAGTAATTAAGAAGTTTTAAACAACCTGAGATGTAGGGAACCAGCCTAGAATAGAAAATCAATGATCTTCAGAAGATGGTAGCACTGTGGGGTCACAAGGTCCACAAAAGTACAATCAGAAGAGAAATGCAATGCCAACAACGTATTTAGAAGGCCAGAAGAAAGATTTTCTTTCATCTAGCCACCACTGTAAGCGCCTGGAGTTCACTAAATGTTACTGAAACTTGACTGGACTAGGACCGGGTTCTATGGACAGATTTTGGCAAACGCTCAAGGTGGGTTTGGTGTAAAGATGCTTATAAAGAAAACTCATGCCCAATGTTAAGTATGATAGAATATCTGTGAGGTTTTTGGAGCTGCTTTTCCTCTAAAGGCCCTGGCAACCTTGTTAGGACACATAAAATCAGACTCCAGCAAGTACCAGGAGACTTTAAATGAAGTCTAAATGGCTGCATCTGCCAAAAACTAAAACTGGGTTATTGTTCCAAATCCACATAAAAATGGTTCAATAACCAGAGAATCAAGGTTTTGACAGGGTCATCTTAGTTCCCTGACCTAAACCCCACTGAAAACCTGCTGAGGATCTGGAAAGATTCTGTATTGAGGAGTGTGATAACCAGTAATAGTGGTTATATTGATACTACCACTCCAATAGCTTTAGCAAAACAGATTTACTGATATAATTGTCAGTTTTCAACTGTGAATTGTCAACTGACTACCAAATATGACTACCAGTCATATTTCTTAAACTCAAAGATCTCAAAGAACTCTTGAATATTACCAGTTTAGCAGTTTTGTTGGTTTCTGTTAATTAGCTCTTATATTTCTTATCCTTTTCACTTAGTTTTTTTTTGTTATAAACTAATCCTACTGCTAAATGTTTATAAGGTTGACACCCTTTTACATTGCTTTTGTTGTTTTAACCATGTTGGTGTTTTGCTCGAGGTTAACAGTTCAGGCTGTATTGCCAACACCTGAATGCACCTGCAAATTTGCCAACAGAGAGTGGCAAAAGGATTTTGTCGATACAAAAAAATCTGGAACATCATGTTATTGGCCCAAAAATATATCTGCCTAGCCCTAATATGTATCAAACAGCTGTGTATAAAATTGCTCCAGTATGTCTGCAGGCATGGCTCTTTCCGATATCCTATGCATACTTTTCATTTTTGACTGCAGTATGAAAATGATTTTTTTCTCCAGTTCAACTGTGACAGTTGATCTTTATTAACGAAAGCTGTAAAAGGCCCTGCCAGACACCTGTACTGTATTTTAATAGAACCCATCAAAGCTCTTTTTCACATCTCTCCTAAAAAAAAGGCACAGTCACATCCATGTCATATTAACATTTCAATTACCAGATTCTTGTACTGACACAAAGGGAGAGAGATGGAGGCTATTGCACAATAGAAGCACATGAATCACTGCACATTAAAATGCATTTTCCCCCAGAAAAAGTGAAGCAGCACAGGGGGGCAATAGAGGAACAGGCAGGCTCAAATGGAGCCGATTTCTCTATGGCACAGGCTGATAAGCAGAATGTACCACCCAGTTTGTCTACACATACACACACAAACTCACCTCACTGAACAAAGCAACCCAATTTGTTCCCTTATTTGAATATGACGTGTAATTTGGAATATTTATTAATCTCACCATACACTATAATATCATAGATATTCTCAGACATAAAATGAAGATATATAACTTGTGCTTAATAGACAATTGAGGTGGAGCATTATATGGTGTAATTATGAAGAAGTCGTAGGTCATTTCAGAGATAAGAACACATTTTTACATTTTCTCTCACAACACAATTTCAATATTCTCAGTTCACGCATATGTATGACCCATTGTATTACCTGGGCCTCAGGTGGAACCGAACTGTAATTTTCATTAAAATATCAGAAAATGTCATATGAGATAAAAAAAAATGAAGCAGGCTGTCTCTTACCAGATGGGGAGAGCATTTTCCAGCTGATTGCAGGTTCTGGTTTGCCGCTGGCCAAGCACATCAGCGTGACATTGGCGCCTTCATTCACCACCAGGTCTTTCGAGAAGTTGACGATTTTTGGAGGAACTGGAAAAGAAAGAGAGTTATTTTGTTCAGTGTGAAACACACAAGGATGAACTGAACCAAACCAATAGAGACACCATTACTGAGCAACACTTAAAGATGTCTCTTAAAGTAGAACACAAGCATCAGTGATGACTTATTTCACTCTAGTATACATAGCTGCTGTGAGAACAGCATGAGCGTTCAGTGGTCCATTCCACAGAGCCTGGAATCTGACATTTTTCAGCAAGAAAGTCATTCATCTAACAATTCAGACAGAACGGAGATGCCTGCAGAGCACCAGAGTGAAAATCAAATGTCTAAGACATGAAATACACATCAGCATGTCAGCACCTCAAAGCCACAATCTCGCACACTGTTCCAAACCTTGGCTGAAACCAAAGCCTTTCCTTCACCTCCACTGCTGCTCGGTCTGCCCAGAGCTCGCTACAGAAATGCTTGGGTGAACAACCCGGACAAACGAGACACCAACACAGAATCTGAAGGCATGGCAGCAAGCAAGTGCACCCTAATACAGCCATTAAGTCCTTGACCTAAAAATGACTCAGAAAATAAATAAATAAAATAAATAATTAAAAAAGTGGAAGGAGGACTGCGAGCGACGCTCTGAGATGATGCAAGACTCTCTCAGCCTGCCAGTCTCTTCTGCCTCGAGCCGCCAATTATGAATTAAGTATGAATACACTTTTTCTTCTTCTTTAAATGATAATTTTTCCTACCTCCCTTTTCCCCCCCAAGTTTGTACCCCAAAGATATGTTTTCACTAATGCTGTGACAAACTGTGCCCCTGGTGTGTTTTCACCATGGCAATGAAATTAGCAGTATAGAATGGTTAATAATAACTCAGGGCTGAAATGGAAATATAGCAGCTCCTAAGTACTCATGCACACTCAACCACAGAATCTTGGTCAGCTGTGGGCCATGATGCTGACTGACAGGTCCAGTGCACACTGAAAGGCCAGAGATCACTCTGGTCTTTTCCCGGCAGCTGCAGTGACAGCAAGGCCCTTTCAAAATCATGGGAAAGTGCTGCCCATTGAGATGGTTTACACAGCAACTATGAAGTGAGCTTTCAAGGACCTATGCTTTTAAAAGCCCATAACAAAATCTCAAAAACAGAATATAACCCACCCAAAAAAATCCAGTGTATAATAGGTTTTTATTCAGCATGAGGGAAATGCAAACGAGACACATTTCAGCTGCCTGATTTATTGATTGCCTTTGCACTTTGAACACGCTTTGAAAGAGACTGCTGTGTAAGGTACAATGCAGGCATTTGTGAAGGGTCTTACAGAGCACTGTGAAGTGGACAACTCAGCGAAAATACAGATGCTTCACATACTTTATTTAGACCCCCGCTGGGGAATAATAATACCAAGCATGTGTCCATTCTCTTTTCACTGTATGGCACAGGAAATGATGACCTACTTCATGTATCATGCACTTAGGGCAGCATGCTGTGATTGGTTCAAGTGTGTTTAGAGTTTCCATGAAGCAGTTATATATTAGTTATACAATAAGTAACAATGCACTGTCATGTCTCAGTACTGCATTATTACTTTCATCACTTTCACACGTTGCATGTGAGAAACTGCTGAACAGAACTACTTTAGGCTTAAGATTCATGAAAACTTCAACAAAGATTCATCAAAACTCCATAACCGTATCACAAAAAAGCTCAAAATGCACTTATTTTAGCATTTCATTAGCTCTTATTATTGTATCTTTTCTTTAGTTGCTTTTCTGTTTTTATTTTTTTCACTTTAGTTATCTTATGGTACTCTACCATATTCTACTATCTTACTGCTTTATTTTTACATCTCAATATACTATACTAATACACAAAAGTCAGAGATCACTTAACATTTATTTACATTCCAGACTAAACAGCCATTCAGTGCAAGTCTTTTCATTTTTCAGCATCAGGAAAAAACAGAAAACAAATATTAAAAATGACACATAATCCCCAACAAATAAATATAATATCAGTGTTTTCAGTATCGTGTCTGTGTGCACTGTTTGCCTTTATTATAGCCTCTATTCTTCCCAGGAGACTCTGCGTGGGGATTTTGCACATCTCCAGATTTAAGTCTTAGAAGTTGGATGCATTTTCTTCTTCTCACATTCCAAGTAATCCCAAACACATTCGGTAGTGTTGAGGTCTGGACTCTGGCATGGTCAGTCCATTGTTCTGAGAACATCAGCAGCTTCTTTGTTTGATTCGCAAATTTTCTTCTGTTTTGTCTATTTCCTTGTCTCAGTAATGGCTGCTTGACAGCTACGCATCTTTTCAGATCTATAATGTTGAGTCTTCTCACAGGATGGACAGAGACAGCTTTAGGTACTGTCTATCTGATAATGAATCTCATGATTTTTCACTTATTTTCATTTCCCTTTCCCCTTCCTTACACAAGTCTTTCATCAAATCTCCTCAGAAATATTTTTTTTTATTTTTTTTCATTTCTAAGGAAAATTAAATAACTTTACATTTCTTTTAAAATGTGTTCTATTTACTTCAGATTTGTTCTAGGTATTCTTGTTCTGTGTTTGTACTTGCACATACTGTAGGCACTCTGAGCTTCATACAAAATGTCAAAGCTAAAAAAAATATATATATATATATATTATTATTATTACATCAAGGAAACCTAGGAAATTATTATTATTAATAATATATATTTTTAATAAAAGTTGGCTTTTGCCTTTGGCAGAAGAATGATTGTGTTCTTTTGGGTGGTTGACCACAGCCCCATCACTCGATGTCTTCTTCTCTATTAAACTATGGCAAATATTATGCAGGCATTCAACGAGTGTTAAAGGCCAATTCACTTTAGTCTACTGTTCTCTGAGAGAACTCTGCATTCATACCCCCTTGATGGCTGGCAAGTGTACTGGACAGAGGGATGAAGATCCTTTGGAGGCCATTAACCAAATCCCACACTGGAAATGAAAATGTGAAGTGAGATGGAATCACTTTTGTTGAATATTAATTCTTGGAATGCGTTAGGCTGTGAATATTTATTATCGGTATTCTTACTTTAGAGGTGAAAAAGTGAGATTTCTTCTTTGAATTGCAAGATGCTTGTAAGGGAACACGTTGCTTTTCCCCATTAAAGTAATTATCAAAGTGATTCAGCCAGTAAATGTGATAGGGAGAAGACCTCGTTCAGAAGTGATGAAAATATAGAATAATAAAAATGTCACTAACCCACTATTTGCCGCTGTTGAATTTAGATGTTATTATGACATATGCATGGTGTCAAGTGGCTTGATTTGCATTTCAAAGCTGAAATCTTAACAAAGGTTGCCATCGCTGTCTGAGAGGGTATCAGCACAGTGTAATACTACTGTTTTATCCTGTTTCAGCCTCCTCCAGAGACAGACAACAATAAATAATTCATCTAATGTCAGCTTAATTCCACTTCCCAAGTGTAAGAGTGAGAGGTTTGAGGTGAGAGAGCAGTATTTGGCAGCGTTTTGCAACTGTTTTGTTTGCAGCCGTGGTTTATGGACTTACTCATTCAGCGATGGGACAGCCATTAAATCTAAACTAAATCTAAACTTTCCTTCTTTTCAACTCATAATCCTAAATTGAAAAATATATTCAGTGCACTTTGTGACACAACAGTCTAAGATGGTTCTTTAAGCCCATGAAAGTAAATAATACCTTCAAAATCTCAAAGCAGTAATCTCTCCAAGGCTTTTTTTACTTTAGTTCCAAAGCATTTAAAGAAAGAAATATTTTCAAGGCATGAATAAAGTAAGGGAAACAGTGAAGTGTTAAGATCATTTTGACTGCTGCAGTGTTTACTGACTGCTACCTGTTCTATTGAATTGCACTAAAATACACCGATCAGGCATAACATTATATCTTTGTTTCTACGCTCATTGTCCATTTTATCAGCTCCACTTACTATATAGGGGCACTTTGTAGTTCTACAGTTACAGACTGTAGTCCATCTGTTTCTCTGCTTACTTTGTTAGCCCCCTTTTACCCTGTTCTTCAGTGGTCAGGACCCCCATGGACCCTTGCAGAGCAGGTACTATTTGGGTGGTGGATCATTCTCAGCACTGCAGTAACACTGACGTGTTGGTGGCGTGTTGTGCTGGTACGAGTGGATCAGACACAGCAGTGCTGCTGGAGTTTTTAAACACTGTGTCCACTCACTGTCCACTCTATTAGACACTCCCACCTTGTCAGTCCACCTTGTAGATGTAAAGTCAGAGACGATAGCTCATCTTCTGCTGCACAGTTTGTGTTGGTCATCCTCTAGTCCTTCATCAGTGGTCACAGGACGCTGCCCACAGGACGCTGCCCACAGGACGCTGCCCACAGGACGCTGCCCACAGGACGCTGTTGACTGGATATTTTTGGTTGGTGGACTATTCTCAGTCCAGCAGTGACACTGAGGTGTTTAAAAACTCTAGCAGCACTGCTGTGTCTGATCCACTCAGACCAGCACAACACACACTAACACACCACCAGTCAGTGTTACTGCAGTGCTGAGAATGATCCACCACCGAAACAGTACCTGCTCTGTGGAGGTCCATGGGGGTCCTGACCACTAAAGAACACGGTAAAATGGGGGCTAACAAAGTATGCAGAGAAACAGATGGACTACAGTCTGTAACTGTAGAACTACAAAGTGCACCTATATAGTAAGTGGAGCTGATAAAATGGACAATGAGCGTAGAAACAAGAATGTGGTCATAATGTTATGCCTGATCAGTGTATATGCAACAATGCTTTACAGAAAAGATTTGTACTGTTTCGTTTGACAAATGACGATATCAATAATCAATCTAGAATATACTTAAAGAATTTATAGTAATGAAGCTAATGATAATGATGGGAGAACCTGGCAGAACTGGACCATTGCCTGTATGTATGGCAAGTCACAGCAACAGATTCGACCACAACCTTTATGAGTTTTGTGGCAAAGCAATCTCCTTGTATCTTTGCGAAGCATTTTTCAGATACGGCTAGCTGGAATACAAGCCAA